CACGTCGCTTGGCGCGTCCCTTGAGACGTTCTGCGTCGCGTCCTCCTGGCATGTTCCCCTGTCCATTAGCTCTGGGGCAGCTACTATGTGTTCAGGCAGCTCGAGCTTAAGATCCAGATCAGTTCGGTCAGGACTCGGATGCAAAGGAGGACTCGATCCACGAGGCTATAGAGCACAATCGCGCCATGGCACATCGCAATTCAGCACGGCGCAGCACAGCACTGATTTCGGCACGGTACATCAAGGTCGATGCACTCAGCATTGCAACTTGGCACGTTCCTTGGCACGTTCCGTGGGGCGTCCTTTGGCGAGTCCCCCTGGCACGTCGCGTCGCGCGTCCCCTGGCACATCCCGTGGCACATCCATTGGCACGTTCCGTAGCGCGTCCCCTTGGCACGTCCCGCGGTGCGACCCCATGGCACGTCCCCTGGCACGTCGCCTGGCGCATCCCTTGGACGTTTCGCGGCGCGTCCTCCTGGCATGTCCCCCTGTCCATTAGCTCTGGGGCAGCTACTATGTGTTCAGGCAGCTCGAGCTTAAGATCCAGATCAGTTCGGTCAGGACTCGGATGCAAAGGAGGACTCGATCCACGAGGCTATAGAGCACAGTCGCGCCATGGCACATCGCAATTCAGCACGGCGCAGCACAGCACAGCCCTCGGCAGGATACATCAAGATCGATACCTTCAGTATTGCATTTGCCCGTCACCCAATCAGGTGTCTTTGAAAACGCTGCCATGTGTTACAGTTCTACAGTCCTTTCCGGGTTTACAGATTTGAAATCCCGATCGATAAATCACAGGGTGCGGGACACCTCAGCACGACCACACCCCCAGCATGACCACACCCCAGCACGACCACGCCCAGCACGACCACGCCCCAGCACGACCACACCCCAGCACGACCACACCCCAGCACGACCACACCCCAGCACGACCACACCCCAGCACGACCACACCCCAGCACGACCCGATCGATAAATCACAGGGTGCGGACCACCCCAGCACGACCACACCCCAGCACGACCACGCCCCAGCACGACCACGCCCCAGCACGACCACGCCCCAGCACGACCACACCCCCAGCACGACCACACCCCAGCACGACCACTCCCCAGCACGACCACCCCCAGCACGACCCCACCCCAGCACGACCCCACCCTAGCACGACCACACCCCAGCACGACACACCCCAGAACGACCACACCCCAGCACGACCCCACCCCAGCACGACCCCACCCCAGCACGACCAACCCCAGCACGACCACACCCCAGCAGACCCGACCCCAGCACGACCCTACCCCAGCAAGACCACACCCCAGCACGACCACACCCCAGCACGACCTCACCACAGCACGACCACACCCCAGCACGACCACGCCCCAGCACGACCACGCCCCAGCACGACCACGCCCCCACACACCCCCCAGCACGACCACCCCCCCCAGCACGACCACCCCCCAGCACGACCACCCCCCAGCACGACCACACCCCAGCACGACCACTCCCCAGCACGACCACACCGCCTTGGTTGAGTGGTTGCCTGTCGTCGTGGAATGTTTCGTGGGGTGTCTCGTGGAATGTTTCGCGGGGTGTCTCGTGGAATGTTTCGTGAGGTGTCTCGTGGAATGTTTCGTGAGGTGTCTCGTGGGATGTTTCGTGAAGTGTCTCGTGGGATGTTTCGTGAGGTGTTGCCCAGTTGGGTATCGTGAAAACGTGTCCATGCTCCACATGTCTATATCCCTTTCCGGGTTCGTGGGTCCATCATGTTTTTGAGGATGTCCGAGCGAAACGCTTGTTTTTCAGAATTTGTTGAGGATGTCTCGAGCGAAACGCTGGTTTTGCAGAGTTGGGGATGTCTCGAGCGAAACGCTTGGTTTCAGAATTTGTTGAGGATGTCTCGAGCGAAACGCTGGTTTTGCAGAGCCGACCGCGACACGGAAAAGCGCTCCTCGCGCAGGAATTCCGAGGATGTCTCGCGCGTGCCGCGTCCCGCACGCAGGAATTTTGATTCCTTTGGGTTTTGACAGGGTTTCTCAAGCGAAACGCTTGTTTTTCATAATTTGTTGAGGATGTCTCGAGCGAAACGCTGGTTTTGCAAAATTGGGGGATGTCTCGAGCGGGGGTGGGGGGCCAGAATTCAGAGGATATCTCAGGCGCAATGCTTGTTTTCGTGTCCCGCTCGCAGGAATTCCGAGGATGTCTCGCGCGTGCCGCGTCCCGCGCGTAGGAATTCGGATGATTGTGATAGGATGTCTCGAGCGAAACGCTTGTCCCCAGCACGTTCAGTAGCGCGTCCCCTTGGCACGTCCCGCGTTGCGACTCCATGGCACGTCCCCTGGCACGTCGCCTGGCGCATCCCTTGGGACGTTTCGCGGCGCGTCCTCCTGGCATGTTCCCCTTGTCAATTAGCTCTGGGGCAGCTACTATGTGTTCAGGCAGCTCGAGCTTAAGATCCAGATCAGTTCGGTCAGGACTCGGATGCAAAGGAGGACTCGATCCACGACGCTATAGAGCACAACCGCGGCATGGCACATCGCAATTCAGCACGGTGCAGCACAGCACAGCCCTCGGCAGGGTACATCAAGATCGATACACTCAGCATTGCAACTTGGCACGTTCCTTGGCACGTTCCGTGGGGCGTCCCTTGGCGAGTCCCCCTGGCACGTCGCGTGGCGCGTCCCCTGGCACATTCCGTGGCACATCCATTGGCACGTTCCGTAGCGCGTCCCTTTGGCACGTCCTACGGTGCGACCCCATGGCGCGTCCCCTGGCACGTCGCCTGGCGCATCCCTTGGGACGTTTCGCGGCGCGTCCTCCTGGCATGTTCCCCTGTCCATTAGCTCTGGGGCAGCTACTATGTGTTCAGGCAGCTCGAGCTTAAGATCCAGATCAGTTCGGTCAGGACTCGGATGCAAAGGAGGACTCGATCCACGACGCTATAGAGGGCAGTCGCGCCATGGCACATCGCAATTCAGCACGGCGCAGCACAGCACAGCCCTTGGCAGGGCACATCAAGATCGATACACTCAGCATTGCATTTGCCCGTCACCTAATCAGGTGTCTTTGAAAACGCTGCCATGTGTTACAGTTCTATATTCCTTTCCGGGTTCGTGGGTCGATCATGTTTGCTAGTGGGAGCCCTCTTGGGACGCCGCTTAAGGACCTCTTAGGGACCTCTTGGGGCGTCTTGAAGGCCTGTTGGGCCGTCTTGAGGCCATCGTAGGCGTTTGGGAGTGATATTTCGGCGTCTCCCGGCTCTCTTGGACCGTCTGGAGGGCTTCTCGGGCCCCTCTTGGACCGATTTGGAGCCCTCCTGGGCTCCGAAAAAGAGTTCTTGAGGGTTTCTTGGGCCTTCTTGGAGCGCTCGGCCGTCTTTGAGCGGTCTAGAGGGTCTCTCGGGCCGTCTTGGGGTGATCTTGGGGGCCTCTTGGACCGCCTTGAAAGGTGTGAAAGACGAAGAGGCGGATATGTTAAAAATGCACGTTTTCCTATGGGAATGGGACGATTTTTCCCGGAAAGGGCTCGAGCCCAGGGTTATCTTTTAGTTGGTTCCCCCCGGTTTCGACGGCTGCAGGGCCGGCGAAATTATTCTGCGATAAATTACGTGCGGGAGTAGGGCCGGCGGAATTATTTTTGAGGATGTCTCGAGCGAAACGCTTGTGTTTCAGAATTTGTTGAGGATGTCTCGAGCGAAAACGCTGGTTTTGCAGAGCCGACCGCGACACGGAAAAGCGCCCCGCGTAGGAATTCCGAGGATGTCTCGCGCGTGCCGCGTCCCGCGCGCAGGAATTTCGAGGATGTCTCGACTAGTTTGGGCCTCCAGGCGCCTCTGGGCGTTCCTGGGCCCTCCTGCGCTCCAGACGACCGCATGTTAGATATCTCCCCCTGGGTGGGCTGGACCACGTGTTTTTACGTGTGCAGGCCACCCAGGTTGTATCTAACATGGTGGTCACGAGCTGGAGCCATATGTTTTTACGCGTCCAGGCCACCCAGGGGGATATCTAACATGGTTGTCCCGAGCTTGAACCATGTGTTTTTACGTATCCAGGCCACCCAGGGGGGTATCTAAAATGATTGTTCTGAACAAAGACCACGTGTTGTAACGAGTCCAGGCTACCCAGGGGTGTACATAGCTTGGTTTCCCGAGCTGGCACCATATGTCTTTAGGTGTCCAGGCCATCCAGGGGGATATCTAACATGGTTGCCCCGAGCAAGGACCACGCATTTTAACGTTCCGTAGCGCGTCCCCTCGGCACGTCCCGCGGTGCGTCCCCGTGGCACGTCCCCTGGCACGTCGCCTTGCGCGTCCCTTGGGACGTTCTGCGGCGCGTCCTCCTGGCATGTTCCCCTGTCAATTAGCTCTGGAGCAGCTACTATGTGCTGAGGCAGCTCGAGCTTAAGATCCAGATCAGTTCGGTCAGGACTCGGATGCAAAGGAGGACTCGATCCACAACGCTATAGAGCACAATCGCGGCATGGCACATCGCAATTCAGCACGGCGCTGCACAGCACAGCCCTCGGCACAGTACATCAAGATCGATCCTTTCAGCATTGCGTTTGCCCGTCGCCCAATCAGGTGTCTTTGAAACGTTGCTATGCCTTACATTTCTATATTCCTTTCCGGGTTCGTGGGTCGATCATGTTGCTTGTGGGAGCCCTCTTGGGGCGCCGCTTAGGGACCACTTGGGGCGTCTTGAAGGCCCGTTGGGCCGTCTTGAGGCCATCGCAGGCGCTTGGGAGTGATATTTCGGCGTCTCCCGGCACTCTTGGATCGTCTGGAGGGCTTGCCGGGACCTTGCCGGGACCTTGCCGGGACCTTGCCGGGACCTTGCCGGGACCTTGCCAGGACCTTGCCGGGACCTTGCCGGGACCTTGCCCGGGTACTTTTCGTCCGGGGACCCCCAGGGCCCGCCCTGCGCGCGCGAGCTAGAAATATTGTTGAGCAGTTACCGGAGATCTTAGCACGCCTCTGGCCCGTTGGGCCGGCGAATTTTGGAAGCCTGTTCACATTGCGACTCTTGCAAAATCGTTTGTTAAGGTAGCGTGGGACGATGCGTGTTTGTTCAGCGAGTTAGCCTTTGCAGCTCAAAACAACGTGCGCGATTTTAACGACCATGACATCATGGATGTAGCCTGGGCCTTCAGTAGCATTGCTTGGCAGGATGTCCCACTCTTCAACGCCCTTACTGATGTTGCAGCGTTGAAGCTTGAGACGTTCGGGCCCGTGAAAATTTCTGCTACTGCGTGGGCATTTGCAACAAGTCGCACGGTGGCAGCTGAGTTTTTTAATGGCCTTGCAGCGTCATCTACATCACTGGTTTGCGAGTTCGATGCGCAAGGCGTCTCAAACACAGCATGGGCGTTAGCCAAAGTGAACAGGAACGATCCTAATCTATTTGATGCATTGGCTATGCCAGTACCTGAGAAAATCCATCAGTTCAATACGCAGAACATTGCGAATACCATTTGGGCATTTGCTAAGATTGAGCGGAATGATTCTCTCGTTTTCGAGGCAATTAGACACGTGACCGTTACAGGAGACTTGGCATGTTTTTCCAATGCGCACACTGCAAAGTTGTGTTGGGCTTTCGCAGCGGCTGCTTGCTATGACTATGAGTTTTTCGATGTTCTTTCCCGCAGTTTGGAAGGAAGGTCATGCAGTTACACCGAACAAGATATATGCAACATTGCATGGGCATTCGGGAAAGTATTCCACAGTGATGCAGCTCTATTTGATAGGCTTGAAAAGGAGGCATTTGCTCTGGCATCAAGTTTTACACCTCTCAGCATGTCTTGTACGCTATTGGCTTTCACTCAGGTTAGCTGCAAAACGTCGCAACTGTTTAATCGATTTGCAAGCGCCGGTGCGCAAGTAATCGATGTGTTCGACACGCGGAGTTTGGCGTTAATGGCTTGGGCATGCGCCGAAGGAAGGTGGAGCCACTCATATTTCTTTAAGGCCGCGGCTCCGGCAGCGTTGCGAAAGATGCATGAGTTCAGAGAGGTAGACGTTGGGCTTTTGATTTGGGCTTATGCAGCAGTCGGACGAGCCCATGATGAACTGTTCAACGCGGTGTCGTGCTCAGCACTAGATCGCATTCAAACTTTTGGTCCGCGGGCTATCTCTCAGATGGCTTGGGCTTTTGTCAAGGCGAGTCGAAACGACACAATCCTCTTCGACAGTTTAGCTAAAGCAGCGTTGAGGACAGTAGGTGATTTCACTGAGGAAGACACATGTAAGTCGTTGCGAGCTTTCGTCCAAGCGAACGTGCATGGTGTGCCTCGTATTCGCTTGCTTGTATCCTCCCTCGTAGAGCATATTAAGAAGAATAACTGGCTACGCCTAGCTGTCAACGCGGGCCCACCAATGTCCCGCATTGAGCAGGAATGTGTTCGGGTCGTGTCCCAGCTGGAGCCTACGTGTTCGAGGAACCGCTATTTTCTGGGATTTGAATTGGACATCGTTGTTGAAGTGCATGGGCGCTTGATCAATATTGAGATTGACGGGCCTCACCATTGCAGTGCTGCCCAAAAGAGGTTTGACCGTCGACGGGACGCATTTCTTCGCAAGTTTGATGTCCTTGTGTTCCGTATTGAGCCAATTGACCACACAGGCGAAGTGCGGAACGATTTGCGGAATGTGCTTGCAACGTCTTTGCAGAAAGCCAGGGGCATTATTTCACACGAAGGTGACCGCAGTTCGAAACTACTGGTGTGACCTTGTCCCGTCTGGTTGTTTTGGCCATGCGAGGCGGACTCGAGACGTGATCTCACGCGCCTGCGCACAGGGTAGGGGTTAAAAAATGTGTTTTTTCTATTTAAGAAAAAAGCCCGAAGATCGATGGTGAGGGCCCCAGAGGGGAGGGGGACCAAACGTTAGCACTCCTTTCTTGTCACCGACGCCCTCCACGGTTGCCCAATGAGGCCCTCCAAGGCTTCCACGAGGCCCCCAAGAGAGCCCCAAGAGGGCCCTGAGACCCTCCAAAAGAGCCCCACGAGCACCCCAAGACCAATCAAACGAGCCCCAAGAGGGCACAGAGGTAGCGCCAAGAGGGCCCCAAGAGGGTCCAATAATTCTCCTAGATGGCTCCAGGAGTCCTCGTACGCGTCGTCCTTATCCTCGTCCTCGTACTCCTCTTCGTCCTTCTCCTCCTCGTCCTCCCCGTCCTTGTCCTCGTCGTTACCCTCCTATTGCTCCTCCTCTTCCTCCTCCTCCTCGTCCTCCCGCCCTCGTCCATCTTCTCCCCCTCCTCCTCTTCCTCCTTCTCATCATCCTCCTCGTTTTCGTCCTCGTCGTCCTCCTCCTCTTCCTCCTCCGCCCCCTCCTCCTCTTCCAATTCGTTCTCACCCTCCCTCTCGTCCTCGTCCTCGTCATCCTCCTCTTCCTTCCCCTCTTCGTCCTCGTCCTCGTCGTCCTTCTCCTTATCCTACTAACCGTTATCATGTTTGTCCTCGTCCTTCTTTTCCTTTTTGTCTTCGCACTCATCCTCGTCGTCGTCCTCCTCCTCTTCCTGTTCTTTTTCCTCCTCCTCGTCCTCCTCCTCCTCCTCCTCCTCCTCGTCCTCCTCCTCCTCCTCCTCCTCCTCCTCCTCCTCCCCCTCCTTTCCCAGCTCCTCCCCGTCCCCCTTCTCATTCTCCTCCTCATCTTCCTCCTCGTCTTCCTTATCGCACCCTGCTCCTCCTCGTCGTCAACGCGCCCCCCGAATCCTCGTCATCAGAGGTTCTTCTTTGTTGCGCACTCTACTTCGCTACGTGTGTCCATCCTCCTCCTGTTCCTCCTCCTCCTCCTCCTCATCCTCCTCCTCCTCCTCCTCCTCTTCTTCGTCCTTTTCATCCTCCTCCTCGTCTTCCCTGTCGCACCCTCCTCCACCTCCTCCTCCTCGTCCTCACGCCCCCCGAGTCCTCGTCATCCGAGTTTCTTCCTTGCCCTCGCCATACTCATCCTCATCCTTTCTTTCTTTGCCTTGTCCTCGTTGCCCGCTCTGCTTCGCTACGTGTGTCCTTTCTTCCCTGCCCCCGACAGCTCTCATGGGCCTCTTCGTCCTCCTTCTCCTTGCCCCCCTCTCCTGCTCTTCCTCCTCCTCCTCCCTTCACCCGAAAACTCTCATCGGCGTCGCCCCCCTCCTTCTCAACCCCCTCCTATTCCCTGCGCGGGCCCCAGAGGAGGACACAAGGAGCTCTCAAAAGCTTTGCTTTTATAGATAAATCTCTGCATTCACCCTTGGTGCCCGCTTTGACCACTAGCCGCACCAGCAACAGTATCAGCAGCACCAGCACCAGCACCAGCACCAGCAGCAGCACCACGAGCAGCGGCACCAACAGCAGCACCTGCGGAAGCACCAGCAGCACCACCAGCACCAGCAGCAGCAAAGGCACCGCCACCAGAATCACTTGCAGGCACCGGCAGGACACTAGCAGCAGCACCAGCAGCAACAGCAGCACCAGCAGCAGCAGCACCAACAGCACCAGCAGCAGCAAAACCAACTAGATCTTGCCGGCGGTGAGGCAGTGCCTTGCGGGGAGGGGGGATAATTAGGAATATCGTTGCTTGCAGGATGGGCCGCGAACCAGCGAACGCCCAACCCCGACTTTCCCCTATATGCCTCCCCATCTGATTTCTCCGCCGCCAAGAAAAGCAAAGCACGCGCGTCGAGCAGCCGCGGCGAGACCGGCGCGAATGTCAAAACCACCACGCACCGCAAGATGAAACACGTACCACAACATGTTGTTTTTGAAGCGCGGTTGACGCGAGGAAGCACTGTCTCGCAGCACGCCTCGCCGATGCACGCGCGTCGCGGTCCGCGAAGGACTCGGCGATGCTACGACGGAGAACGTGTCGTCACTAACGCGATCTTATGTTGCGGCATATTGCTTTGCAGCGCCTCTGCTCGGGACAACGTGACATCAACCACCTCGACCCCGCGCCAAGACCACGCCTTTGCTCCCAAGGATTTTTCTGTTCATCTAGGTTGCCCGTTTCGCTTTACTACATGTGTCTCTTCGTCCCCTTCCCCGTCAACTCTCATGGGCAGGGTTTCCGAATGTCTCGTGGGATACTTTTCCGTCGCGGCCACAAGCGGAAGCGCAGGCGGCGTCCGAAGTCAGCCCGGGGTTCGTGGGATACTTTTTGCGTCGCAGCCGCAGGCGAGAGCGCCAGCGGCGAGTAAGGTCCGAGCGGGCCGCGCAAGAGCCAAATTGCCTAACGCCGACGGGCCGGCGACCTAAAGCAGCACCTAAGCCAGCGGGCCGGCGTGAGGGTGGGGGGCGGGCTGCAGCTGCCAGGAAAAAGGCCCAGGAGCGCGCACATGCACGATTAACCAACCAGGGGTGGGGCACAGCCAAAATGGCTCGGGGGTGGTACCAGGATGTGGCCAGGAAGACCACCACCAGTACACTGCAACAGATACCAGGGGATCATACTGGCCATAAGCTGGTGCATAGGGTGGCGCCACCAAAAGCGCACACCGAGACTCCTGAAGGGAGTACTGATCCTGCATACAACCGTCCACGGGGTGATCCTGGGCGGTCCAGCGAAGTAGCCAGGGGAACGATGGATGTAATCGACACCGTAACACGCCTGAACCACCGGATCGGGAAAAGCCAAGCGCACTCACGAACAGGGCCGCCGACGTCTGAGAGTTGACCAGGACCAGGGCAATCCATGTCTCAGCACGGGGCCGAGTGAACACAAGAGTGCCGTGGGCATCGCCGCCAGGAACCGTGGACGCAGTCAACACAGTCATCCTACAGCCAGGAGAGCGCAGGCTAACCACGTGCACTCGGGGACTCCATGCGCCAACGATGGGGTTGGGCCAATGGAGCTCGGGGGACCAGGGACCGGGGCTGACAGGGCCGCTGCGACGCCCAGCCACTTGAGCGGGGGTACCAGGATGTGCCCAGTAGGCCACCACCAGTACACTGCATCAGTTACCAGGGGACCATACTGGCCGTAAACTGGTGCATAGGGTGGCGCCACCAAAGTCGCACACCGAGACTCCTGAAGGGAGTACTGATCCTGCATACAACCGTCCACGGGA